CCCGCAGTTGAATGACAATCCTAAAATCGAGTACCAGTACCCGCACCGCCGAAAGTGTGTTAATATAAGATTTTGTTTTGCTGTTTTGTAATATTTTACTTTTTTAAATAAACATTTACTAGTAAAATGTCTTGTTTATACAACAAAAAGTTCTACAATGAAAAATTTTGTTAGATGCTGAAAAGAAATTAAAATAATGTACTTATTGTTAGTATTATACTCATATTATATAATCCTCATTATAACAATAATATGGAAATATTGTGTCTAATTTTTTTTATTTTGGAAAATGGTAAATTTAATGTTTTTTATGTAAGGTATATAAATGATTAATTTGCATGCCCACAATATTACGTTTATGGCATACAAATAAATTCGTGTAAAAATTGTCTTTTATTTATTGAACATATCGATAAGTTTCTGAACTTCTTATTTTCAAAATACATTTTAGAAAAAATGAGTATCAATATAGATGATCGTGGCGTAAATTTTAGAAATAGTTCTAGAAGTAGATATATTTTTGAATTATGCATATCTCTGAATTTTAGACATATCTCTGAATTTTGAACATATCTCTGGTTGGGTTCATATTACTGAATTTTAGGCATATCTCTGAATTTCAGGCATATCTCTGAATTTCAGGCATATCTCTGAATTTCAGGCATATCTCTGAATTTTAAGCATATCTCTAAATTTTAAGCATATCTCTAAATTTTAAGCATATCTCTGAATTCTAGGCATATCTCTAAATTTTAGACACATTTCTAAACTTAAATCTAAATTTTAGACAGATCTAAATTTCAAAGATAGTTCTAACTTTTAGAAATTTAAAACTCGCAAATTCAGAACCCACAAATTCAGAACCCACAAATTTAGAACCCACAAATTTAGAACCCACAAATTTAGAACTCATAAATTTACAAGTCACGGAATTCCAAGTTGCCAAATTTGGAACTACCAAATTCCAAATTAACAAATTTCGAACTGATTTGATAATTCACACAAGCATATGTTCGTACTGTGGTTTGCAGGTAGCTACTGATTACAGTTGACGTCCGCATTTAAATAAAATATATAGATGGCATTAAACGTTTTAAACATATTAATGAATTTATATAATTACAGATATTATAAGTAAGTTTGGAAGACATCAATTGGAAATGGCATTGATTATAATTGGAGTTGATCATTTGTAGTTGATCACTGGTAGTTGATCATTGGTAGTTGATCATTCGTAAATGATCAGTGATAGATGATCATTGATAGATGATCATTGGTCATCATCATTTTACTCAAGCAGCAGTGTAATAGTAGGGTAAGTTATAGTAATCGCAAATAATTGAAAATTACAATTTTCATATATCCTTACATTTTGGCATACCTTATAAAAAATGGATATGTGTGTGAGTGTATGTATGTGTGTGTGTGCTAACGTATCGCGATTGCTTTAAAAATAGATTCAGAATTAACAAAATATTTCAAAGTATAATAAAAATCAAACTTTTCAAAAGGGCCAATTATTTTTCAAAAATTTTAAAAATCTCAAAAATCGATTTTTTTCAGAGTTCTAAAATTAAATTGAAACTTTTTTTAAAAAAATAATTTTAGGTACGGGAAGTGCCACCATTCCAGCAGTTTGGCACGATGCCATGGCACCACTAGTTACGTACAAGTATCAAGAAATTTTAGATACATTTACAGTACCACTTACACCTAGTTCGTGCAATTAATTCATTACTCACCGACGACCTGTACGGCAATAGGCTCGCTCTGCACCGCCCTCTGCGATCCTCCGATAACGTTGCTGACTTTGCATACGTATTCGCCTTGATGATCGTACGTGACATTGTCAATCACGAGCCGAGCATCACGACCGCGCTCCAGAATTGTATCGGGTGTCCCTTGAAGTCTGCACCATGAAAAAATGCGATACTCGAGATATTACATTATTACATACCAGATTATATAATCTACTGTGAGATCAACTAGCAATTTTCATGCGAATAATTATGGAACGAGAGCGTGGCGGATAAGGAATTCTCTGTGAGAGTTGATAAAATATTATATTATATACAATATTGGTGATATCGACTGCATCTTATAAATTTCTTAATGTGTGATTTGTTGTTATAAAATAAGAAATATACTTTTAATCCGCAGTATAAAAAACGAAATCAATCACTAGTTACTCTAACGTAGAGTATTAGTTATTAACCACTTGACGACCGTGTTGGGATCTCATCAGGTGTAAGAAGACAATAGACTAATAAGATTTCAATCAATATCCAATACTATCTTTAATTCTCAACTCCGGAATTTATCAATTTTACTAATTGTATTCGTTTCAAACTTGTACTAGCAATATGCTTATACATTTATAATAATTTCGAGTATATTTTAAAAAAATACTATACTTGTGGTAATGAGCTGATTCTGCCGCACAATAGACCAAGGTCATATTACGCTCCAACATTATCCTACTAAATCATACTAAATACTGTCAAAATGTCATGTATTTGCTGTTCATTCAGGAGTTTTACACAAACTGCAACGTCACTCGTATGTTATGAAGCTGGGTCAGAAAGACCCTGTTATCTAACATCGTTTTTTTGACATTTTTGCTGTTTATAAGTTAGGTTTTCTATCTGACAATCTGAGAAAAATGCCTGACTGCACAACAACCACATGGCTTTTGTCAATATTTACAACAATTTTGCATGGAAAGTTCTTCATAACATAGCCTTGCCATAACATTGGTTTATTAAGCTTGATAGAACCACAAAATCTCGTTTCACGATTAAAAAATACATTTATAATTTTTGAAATAAGTCACGTGCAACCAGATTCATAAAATGATAGCATAAATCTCAGTTATTCTAATCTAAATCTTAAAAATATTTTAAATTATGTCTCAATATCATAAATATGTTTTCAAATAATGTATACGTTTTAGAGTATCTTTATTCATACCAAAATTGTCCCTATCTGCAAATTGGCACTACATTATTATTTAAGTCACTGATTTTGCAATTGCTTTTATAGGTACATATAAGTTAATAAATTAAATAAGGATATTTAATCCTTATCATTTTACAACATCAAATGAGCGAATTTTTAGGTAATATATTATTATAAGAACTACAAACAATCATCAAAAATATGACCAGCAAATTATGATAATGGTTGAAAATATGTTACTTGAAAACAAAATACTATGTAAGTAAATTGCAATATATTCTCACATTTAAAATTACAAATTTTTCATACTATTAAACCAACTTCTAAATGACAAGACAAAAGAAGATACCTACTTTTCATGTTCAATTATTATTTGGTATATTAAGGGTGAAGTATAAACTACATTAAATTTTTTATTTTCTTGCAAATATTTGATCAATTTATTTAGTTTAATATGTATATCACTCTATCAAGTCATATTTATTTTTATTAACCCCCTTATAAAAGTTTGCAAGAAGTAATCACGAATAAGACTTCTATATCTTATATGTTGAGTTTTGCTTTAGTATCGTTTGATATTATTATTACGTATCAAAGAAATTCATAAGAACCGATTTTGGCGCCACACTCATGACTCGTATCTTTTTTTATGACATATGAGTTATATATGAGGCATGTTTAATTCATTTTAGTACATCAACTATATTGAAAGTAATTCAGAGACAACCCTCGTATTTCTGCGAAAAGAAGTGATCATAAGGATTGATACCAGGGGAATAGGGATAGATGTCATATATTCCATTTGAAAAATCCAAACAAGAAATATATCTGAAATGCGAAAAACTTTTTAAAAATAATTACTTAAGAAGTGCATATCGTTGCTTCTATATAATTATTTATCATACAATCAGATCATTTTTTTTGGCTCTAAGAGCATAGGAGGATTTAATCCTAACGGCTACAGAGATCTGCAATATTATCATTCCAATTCAGCTAAATAATAATAAACAATATATTTAATAATTATTATGAAGTTGATATAATATTTTACCTCTGGAGCCACTGATAGCTAGGAGGTGGATTTCCTTCAGCAACACATTCAAAAGCAGCTGGTGAAAATAATGGTGCAGTAGTCAAACGATCTGGTCCAACTGACAAAATTCTTGGAGGATCTGAAAAAAAGGAGATAACTATTAGGACAATATTTGTTATACTACGAGTTCTATAACTTTGGTTGCTTTCGTACATCATAACCTAATTCTTTTCTAGAGAGGACAACCCAGAGGTCAACCACTCTTCTTTTTTATATAAGACTATATATATTAGATATGGATGTCTAAAAGAGTACTAGTGTTTATATGTTGCAGAAATGCCCACAAATGGCGATTTTCACTTGGAATTATATTTGAGATCTGTAGTATTAAGTGGAAATTTGATATAACACTGCTTAGTATAGAACTGGCCAAAATTTATTTCTTGCATAGCATAAGAATAGTTGCAAACTAAGATGTATTCATTTATGAATTATTCATTCCACAAGTTGAAATACATTGTAAACATACGCTACCAAAACTAATAATGCATAAACTTTGAACAATTACTCATTTCTACAATTTTCTGAAACAAAAGATCCTAGAAGCATTTTCTTTTACTCCTTCAAGAAATTCATTAATCTTAAATTTTCATAAAAGGTGCGCGCATGCATCTTATGATAAATAATATGATGCATTAATTAATAACGGCAGAGATGACGTAAATATGATAATTAAAAGTTCACAAAGTCTTCTCTTGTGACGAGAGAAGAATATTATGCAAAACTTTTAACTTTTGTAAAACGGTAATGTTATTCTTACTCAACTTTGCGAAAAGTTAAACAAAATATTGCTTAAAATCACGCAGACGATATTAGAATTATTATTAAAAGCCGTGGTGCATCTTTGAGATAATATTACAAATTTATGTAATATTTGTGAAAGAAAACTCATAGGTAATTCAATAAAGTGTCGCCAACTAGAATGATATAAGGCACAAGAATATATTATAGTTTGTAGAATATAATAATTTTTACTCAATATAAAATTTCAAAATTGACTTTCAGTAATTATACTGTCTAAATCAGTAATTTCCAACGTGAGGCGCACGCACCGCAGAAGGGCAATTTTTAAATTCAAGGAGGCAAATTAAAAAATGATACGATTTTGACCCATATGCTTTGGGAATATGATGGTAAATATTTTAGATATTTAATACTAGAATATATATTGCTTTAAAAAAAATTCATAAATTAAATCTATACAACTGGCGAAAACAAACCTCTTCTTCGAAAAGTTAGAAAAAAATAGACTTGATTGAATGTAGAAAAACCATTAATGGAATTTTAATTGATTTTTTTTTTATTTTAATAGTGATTTCTTAAAAATTATCTTATACCTTGAATAACAAAATTATTTTTGAAGGTAAAAAATTTCATACGAGCGCCATTTTTTTTAGGAATGTTAAGGTGGGGCGTGAAGCCTAAAAAAGGTTGGGAAACATTTGCAAATATGTTGTTACTTGTACTTGTATTTGAGCTAATGGTGGTGGACTTTTTTACCCATGGACCTTTATCCCTCGTTTTACCCTGTATATTACAGTAAAATAACTAGTTTATTACTTAAGAAAATATCAATGTAATTAAAATCAAAATCAAGCATTTCACTCCAATTAAGAAGGTAATGAAATAAATCAAACTATTTTATAGCTTTCTGAAAACTTATTTATCGTTTACGGAATAACTCAATATTTATCAAATACAAATTTCTCTTAAGTTTGTGCATTACATCCGGCTTGGAATAGTTTTAGTTAATATTAAATATATTACGGTTTCTCGTAAGACGCAGCAACTTGCTGCGCGCTTCGGTATAGAGATTTAAGTTTGCAACTGGGTTCATTACACAGCTGCATAAGACTTTGCCTAAGACCGAACGAAAATATTCAATTTCATAGTTTTGAAGCATAAAAATATTTGATGAAGTCGTAAATTTAATCATAAAATTATTTATTCTATAGAAGTAAAATTTTAATAAGCAGCACAGGGGTAATAGGAGTGGCACGAATCAGTTAACTTTGCTATTCGAAAATATACATCTTATTTAGATTCAATTGTTATTAAAAATTTCTAAATATGAAGGTATAAATATGCATATATTACAAATGTATTTACTAACTTTCCGTGGAGTAAGTTATAGTAATCGCAAAAAATCGAAAATAAAATTTGATCAACCGATTTGAAAAATTCAAAAACATTCGATTCGTATTGATGGGGAGATGTGCTGATTAGTGTTTGGCAAAAGCAGGTCCAGCCGTTCTGGAGATATGGAGTAAAAAGTACAAAAAATAAAAGTGTTTCAGACAATGAATCATCCGATTAGAATGATTCGAAAAACAACTTGTGTTAAGAAACGATTAGTTTCTGGGGAAGGCAGGTCCAGAAGTTTCAATATTTTCAATAAAAATTCCATAAAGATCAAATTGATATATGTATTGAAACCGAAACGGTATTTTGGATCATTCTGAGACATATGAGATAAGATCCTTTTTAGAACGCCTTCATTCATCAACTCAAGCAGAGGAGGTTTTGTTTATTTCTTGTAAACATACGGTAGTGTTTTGTTTGATAAAGTCATCGCAATATAAAATATGAATGAGAAAATTTTCAGTACATATTTATAATAATTAATATGAAAATTTTTAAAGCTAATTTTCTTAATCATTGATCAATTTTTTGACATACGTACATCAAATTATCAGATATTTTATAGAGATTTAAATAACGTGTACACATTTTGTGTATTTTTTTTGGGTTTCGTACCAAGATTTTTAATTACGGTACGGGAAGTTCCAGCAATTTACCTTAAGGTACGATGCCATGCACCCCACTA